AATTTCTCTGTGATCTGAACGGAACGGACGTCGCAAAGAGGAAAGAGCGAAGAGTCTACCCCTACAAAGATCACCTTAGACTTAAGGGGAGTTTCACTTGCTCAAAGGCAGTCGGACCGAAGCGGAAGTACCAAGGCGAACGTCATGTCTCCAATGACGTTCTACCTCCAGCAACTTCGATAACGTTCCGCAAAAGTCGGACAACACTGGGATCTCGATACGTAGTTTTATTCGCGGCCGAACGCGGCTGAAGCTTTAATTTACTCGACAGTTAGATGTTTTCTATTGTTTATTTCATACTTTTATCGAGGATGTTTTTTCTTTTTATTGTATCGCCGTAATGTTATTGTACAAGTCTCACCGGTCAAGAGCATCAAATATGGGACAACGATGACGAATGACCTTATGAAGCGGCGATTACGGTGATTCCGCAAAACGCGCGTCCATTTAGTATCTCCCGTGGAGCAAATATATGTAGAAAAATGACCGAGCGGAAGATCTTGTGATAGAGAAACGTGTACCTGTGATATTTACTGTAGTAGGCGTAGAGATGATAGATTTTTAATAAACATGTTTCGTATCAGCAATACATACTCAAGTGATTTTGTGCTACCCACCCGATGATATATGTATAGATTAAGATAAATCTTAAGATCTTTAAATTTCTAGAGATAATACAGAATTATCTATTCTTTTTTTATGAATAACGTGTCAATTAATAGGGTTTCTATTAATATACACAACATAAAACAAAATTATACCGTTAATTTAAATTGAGATTTATTACATATTATGTGTAAAACATTACTTGTTAAAATGCGAGAGTCATTAAGTTTCAAGATTTCACACTTTGTATTAAAAAAAAAAAAACATTTTTATCAGCGATTCGTTAATTGGCTAAATAAATCTTTAGACAAAACGTAAAAAAAAATATGTGTACTCTTGAGAATACTTGATTTGAATATTTCAAAGAGAATTAAATTACAAATTAAAAAAAGTATTAAAAATACTCAATTTAAATACAGGTATTTCAGGTATTTCGGAGAGAATTAAATTACAAATTAAGATTAATCATATTAATTAAGAATGCACTCACCCTAATACAGCTTCCAAGAATCCCTTCAGCTCATTCCTTTTTCCCTGCCACTTTTACCTGAAAATACATCAAGAGTATTAGTGTTACGCTATAAAAAACAGATTAAAAATTATAGAGTATAGCGGTTTGTCTAGTTCATATAATTTGATGCAAATATTTGTACGCCACACAGAAGTCTTACGTATTATTTAACTCTTTACCAACAACTATACTTTATAAACAGCATAATGTGATCAAGCACAATGTTGACGATTTTTCAAAAAAAATATTGTCCTACGATATGTATATTTTTTAATTTCTCAATGCGTTGCGATCGAAGCGAAAACGCAGCAAATGCGAAGATGCAATATCGCCCACGCCTCACTTTCTCGATATCACTTGAATTTTTTAATTGATTCCATTGACCTCACTTTGGCGCGCCACGTGGCAACACTACGATATAAATAGTTTTCCGATGCGAAAGGGTTAATCGGATCGAATGTAGTCTATTGTTTCGCGGCACGCTCTACTAAACTGCGTTTTGCGACATTTACATTTATCGTTATCGGCCTTCAAAATTTGTATATAAGACAAGTTTATAATACCGTAAAAAGTTAAATCTGGCCGCAGACCAGAAAAATAATCGCGCAGCATGTTGCGTTAATTAATTTGTAAATGCTGTCATGTTTTCATAAAATTAATTAAACAAATATTTAAAATAATTACGTCGAAAACGATACCAAATATATTGTTCATACATAAATTTTCGTTAAATTATCTCCATACAAAAACAATCGAGTAATAAAATATATGATCGTTCGTGTGAATTAGTCAAATAATAAAAAATATAATTTTTAACGATTAGAGAAAGATATCCCGCGTAAATTTCAAAATGTCACATAAAATAATTTACGTAAAAATATTTCTGTTTACTTCGAGTTACTTACGCTAAAAAAAATGTTATACCAACATTTTAATTAAAAACACCTTCATTAATTCAATGACACTATTAATGAAAAGAATACAATTTTATTAAAATGAGAGCACGATGTATTTGTTCCATTTTAACAGTTATTATATATATATAAATTAATAAAATTATTTTCAATTAAAACAAGGCGATGTTATATTAACAGCCTTGTTTTAATTGAAAATAATTTTCGTGCTCTCGTTTTAATAAAATTGTATTCTTTTTTTTAGTATACACAATAAACTTTAATTTAAACGAACTTTTCTCTCACATATGAAACTATCTATTTTAATCGGGCCGTAATCGCGATTCAGAGTCTGAAATTCGATCATGGTATTCAAAACTTCCGTGAGATACGGCGATCAATCCCACTCGTATCAACGGAAGCCTCGAACTTGCGTGATTCGGCCTGATAACGTAACATGCAATTGCACTCTTTCTCAACCAACTCGAGCTTTCAATACGTGTCTGCGAGCCACTGGAGACCATACACTTTACGAAAGCGCCAAGGTTTTGAGCACTTTATCGATTTCTTTTGACGCGACTCGAGTGCAACCCGACGCGATTCCACCGTCGATATTTTATCGATTTCACCCCATCACCTGGCGCAACGACCTCCGAGCGTCCGCACGCCATTGCGCGCGCGCGCCAAAATTCGCGCGCGTATCCCGGAAGCGGACCGCGCGAAACAAAACAAACCAACCGGACCGAGTGGCGAAGCGGGAATCGCCACGGCAATTCCAAAACGATACACGAAGCGATCTGGTGAAAACTTATCACGCTAATCCCGCTCGGAATTCAGAAGAATTTCAGAAAAGCCGAGATCATCGGCTCTTTCACGTCGCCGTTACTACCTGGCGAGCAACCGATGTTCCAGTCGCGTCGAGACGGATTATCACTATACGCGATTTAGGTTAGCGTCGCCGGGAACGAATGCACGTCCGACAGAATGCACGGACCGACACTCGATCGCCGCCATTAATTCGCGAATTCGCGCGCGCCGGAACTCGCGCCGAAACGTCTCGCGCGGAACGCGTCCCAGCGCCGCTTCGGCGTCCGTTATCACGGGGATACGCAGCCAAGGTCACGCACTAATCCTGAGGGATTTACGTTACGACCGAAGTATCGGTTCCGACTCACGTGTCGGCGACGCGTAAACAGCTTCGTATCACGACGCAAACTTGCCGGTATGTATATGTTCAAACATACCCCAGACGTCCCTCGGGAACACCGTCGGCGTCGACGATACCGTAGCCGCAAGGGGAAAAGCGGGAAAAACACTCAACCACTACGATATTATACTCACTTTCCCGATAACCGAACCGCCACTCAGCTGTAACACGTGCTGTCACCACAGGTGCACGATCACGCTTCGCCGTCATCTTGCGGCAAGTTCAAGAACTGTTACGCGACGCGATGTCGGTAATGTCGGTATCGTAGCGAACGACGATGGAAAAAGATTCTGCTCGGATGATAAATGACTGGAATTCGCGAGACGACTTTTGCCTGTTTCTATCAGACTCATTTCTACCAATGTATTGTAGATTGACTTTAATCTCAGCTTACTTCTCATCTTTTTCTAATTCTTACAATTAAAAAAAGATGAGTAAGTTGCACCGAGATTAAAGTTGATCTACATTGGTAAAAACGAGCCTTGGTATAGTTTAATCTCGGTTCAATTCATTCATCTTTTTCTAGCTCTAGAATTAAAAAAAAGTAAAGAATAAATTAAACTGAGATTAAAATTATTCTACACTGAATACATAGAAATGTAATTTCTCAGTAATTCAATTAACTCATCTTTTTCTAATTCTTAGAATTAGAAATCTTAGAATTAAATGAAGATAAAGAGTAAATTGAACCAAGATTAAAGTTAATCTTACATTAGTGAAATCAAACCCTAGAAAAATCTGAGATCGATATTGGATACAATCGCAATTTCAAGGAATCAATAAGGTAAATATACTTTACGTTACGCATTATCATTGCAACGTTATCTACATTATTATCGCTAATAAATACATACGTATTATTTTCGACATATGAAGATAAATAGAAATAATAATAGATACAAATAGATAGACATAAATTGCTTTCCATTTTCACGCAAGTGATCGATACTAATCGATGGTCTAAAGGTGAATATATTTTATTGTGAATATTTTATATTCACGATCAGACAATGACGTCATTACTTGTTTATTTTATTGACGTTATCATGTAACAACACAGGTTTATAATTTCACTTAAAGCCTGACGTGTTCCATGTGCTATTTACAGCGTTCTTAGAATTATTTCATCCTTGTTTATCAAATGTTACACAAAGAGAAATGATGCTTATAAACGGTGTGAACGCTAAATAGAACGCACCTTTAATACGAGTTAACAGACGAGTTAAGACTCACTTTAAGTAAAGCACACAATCTCGAACTTATAGATAAAAACTTATTGTCAGTTGAATCTCACTTGTCAGAATGAAAAGTAATATACATTCAACTAAATTTTAACGTCACAAATGAGAATTGTTTGAGTTTTAATGTAAATGGAAAGCAACTATAAAGTTCATAAAATATTCAAGATATAATAATATATTATTATTTATTAATTTCTTATTCTATAGGCATAAATGTATAAAAGCGTTCAAGTCAAAATATAAGAATAAACAAATGTAAGAATTGTAATTAAATAAATTAATTAGATTACTCAGATTTATAAACAGTTACTGTATAATCAGTTTGAATTTTTTCGTAAGTAATAAATATAAATGAATTATGCTAGTGATTCTATTTCTAGAATATATTAAACATTGATATGAAAAAAATTTCATTTTTCATACACATAGATACTAGAAGTATTGATTTTAAGTAATAGATTTTATTCGGTTCTTTTATTAAGTCACATCGATCGCTTTTATTTGGTTTCTATGTCAACCATTCGTGCTGTGTGAAGATAGCCTTCACTGCTGCTGCTATTCAGCAGCTTTTCGGCAGAAGCTACTCATATTTGTTTAAGCTACTCATATTGAACAACTTTGCTTCGTGCCGATTAATTATAATTTTTCCTTTCTAAAATGGTGTGGAAAAGAATATATCAACCGGAAGTGCGTACGACGTATCTCTTGAAACCCGACCAGACGCTCAAGAATACCAAAGTGAGTGTTTTTATTTATTCTCACTCTCAAACATTGAGTTTGTAAAAACTGAATTTCTCCTGTGTCTAATATTACTGAAAATTTAACTACGCTTACACAGGTGTCTGAAAGAACTCGAGCGTTAGTAATAGCGAAGGACACCTTTCAGCGTTTTGTGGATTATACTACAGAAGAGGATAGAATAGCAGCACAGCAAGAAAAGGAAGCTGCAAAAATAGCAGCGTTGAAAAAAGCGACTTATGAAAAAAGTAAAACATGGGACAGCACAATAGAAGTATGCTTGACTTATTCTCAACTCAAAATTATTAACGATTAAATACAAAGAATATTTTACTTCTAAATTTTGAAATATATATTATTTTTTTAATGCACAGAGATAAAAGTATATTTTAAAACTTCGCAATCAACATGTACTATAGAATGTTTCGAAGAAAGTAAAAGTAAATTTTTAAACAAGACATTTGCGAAAGTTTTAAAAAATTTATTTATAATTTCACTTTACTTGGATAGCAGCGGTTGATAATATTGTTAAAATGAAAATGATTTAATAATAGAATATTAAGGTGAGACAGAGGGAAGAATTATTGTTAAAGAGGCAAAAAGCTGGAGAAGAGAGGAAAGTGTTCGTGAAAGAAATGACAGAGAAAAAGGTGGCGGAGCGTGCAGAAGTGGTGCAGCAAGCAAGAAGATTGCTTCAGCAAAAGAGGCCTTTGTGCCGACAGATTAATCGTGCTCTTCTCGTCTCCGAGGTACTTTCTCACGAAAGGAGTGTTCACGTAATTTCTAAGTCAAACTCACCGTTAATTAAACTCAAAATAGCCTACCATGATTTGTATTATGATTGTAGTGTCTCAGGGAGCTGGACGCTCAAGTGGCGTTGCAAATGACTATTAGAGCAATGGACGAAGAACAAGATGAAAAATATGCTAATTCCATTAAAGACATTGCAAAATACGAGGAGCAGAAGAATCAAGAGGTGGAGGAACAAACGAAAAAAACGAAGGCTTACAGGATTACTTTGAAAAAACAGTAAACATTAATTTTAATAGAAATTTAATTTTGTAAAACGTAAGAGTATAATTCTAAATCTTTGTAAGAATATTAATATTTTAGTACAAATTCGATAGATATTAATATTAGATAATACAAGTTGAATAAATGTATTATTAGTATCAAAACCAAAGAAATATATATTTATTTTTTTCATTATATTGCAACATGTATTATCAGATTAATTATGTATCAGGATCGAAAATAACGAAAGAGACAATAAATTAAAAGTAATGGAAGAGTTAGAAGCTGAAAAACAGGATCAAATAAACATGACCCTAGATATGCAACTCACGAAAAAGAAAGAGATGCAAGATGTAAGCATTCGATTAATTGCTAAACAATATTTTTTACTCCAAAAGATTTTAATATGTATTCTCTGCATTTATATAGATATTGAACAAAAAGAAGAGACTACAGCAATTTTTCAAGGAAACGATAGAGGAAAAAAAACGATGTGGACTGGAATTACAGCACAATGAAGAATTAAAGGATCGAGCGTTAGAAGTTTATAGGGAAGCTAAAGATCGAATACAGAAAATTGAAAAATCATTAGCGTTAAAGAAAAAGGAAGAAAGAGCGCGTCGGTTGCAGATTGTAGGTACGATACTTTCGGAAACATAAATCATACATGCAGAATTCAAACGACCAAAATGGATCCATCTATTAACAAATCATGTTTTAGAGAAGCAATATGTTTCACCCGAGGAAGTTCGCGAATCTAAAGAGCGAGAAATCTTGGAAAAAGCTGTTGAAGAGAAAAAAGCAATCGAGATGGAAAAGCAAAAAGCACAAAAGGAACGAGAAGAGAAGATGCACGCTCTCATGGAAGAATACAAGCTTCATAACACGGCAATGAAGACCAAGCAAAGACTAGAGGAGAAGGAGTTGAGAGCTTGGGAGATGATGCAGAGATTTAAGAGAGACGAGTATAACGAACAGATCGACTTGGAAGAACGCAAACGACAATGGCAACAAAAACTGGAATATGGCAATGAATTACAAAAGGATATCGTAAGAATGTATTTCTTTAATATAAATTTTATAATAATCAGGTGTAAACATTTATCGAGAATAATTATTTTTTTTATTAATTATTTCTTTTTACGTAGATTCTATTTGCAACGAGTACTTTTACGTGTAAATGCATGTTACATTTGAAATAATTTTTACACGAAGTATATTATTTATTTAAAATATGAACTTTTCATATTTTTCTTTTCCTTATATTATATAAGTATCGCAATATAAGATACATTAATAAAAAATAGGTAATTTGATATTAATCATCAGGAAGAGAAACAAATGGAGAGAGACAAAGAACGCGAAAAAGAAGCTTTCGAAATTGAAGCGACAAAAGCTGCAATTAATAAAACTAACCAAAGGATTCTACTTTATAGCGATGAAGTTTTAGAAGAATCGAAGGGCGTGAGGCCACTTTATCCAATCGTCAAAGCCATAGAGGTATTTTAAACATGTGTAGCATGAAATTTTGAGATTAATAATCACAAATAATTTTAAAAACTCGTCTCTCTGTTTGTAGAATATTAAAAAAGAAATGGGATTAGCGCCAAAGAAAAAACTGGAAGAGTCAATCGTCAAAGAGGAAGAGCGGCCGAAGAGAAAATACAAAGCTCGGCGCCGCTGCAATTGCCCGAAACCTGTTGCGGCAGCTCAAATATATTATTTACAATAACTGCTGTTTGCAATAAACAGCATTAATTTGTAAATCGCTCGACCGCAATTACCACACATCCGTCCAATAATTCAAGATGTCACCCGAGTCATTTTCGCATCACACCGTCAAGTCTCACACTTTTCGACTCACGCAAAAATCGATAGAAACAAAGTTGTCCACGTCAAGACGACATTTACCAGCAATTTATGAACGAAGAATTCACTAAGTTGTGAAAGTTGGAGCATTCTCACGGTTGCTTACTGTAGCGAGCACTCGTTATACGTCAAAACATTATATTACTTTCAATCCTTTCTCGGAGCAATTAAATAAGTTGCCTAAAGCAGGTTTCTCAGAAACATGTTTCATATCACGTTCAATTAACAGAACACATAAATTAATATGGACATATCACCATATAACATTATTTCAGTAAATATAACATGCATTTAATATGAATTAATGTCTCATGCAAATAATTATAATTATAAAATATGATTTCTCTCATAAGCAATACACAATGTATAAAATTCTTATACCAGAATAAATCGATCTTAAAATGACAAGCAATTATTATCATAGATCTGTTTTCTTTGGCTGAAATAGTGTACACTTTTGAAACTTAAAGTAAGATAGGTGTATGTTTGACATTTATCGAAAGCAAAAAAGAGCATGTTTCTATCTAGATCCCCGGATGTCATGTTATCCTTGTTGTTTACTGAACGTTAAATAAGAATGACGTGACATCTAAAGAGCCATCCAGGTGAGAATCAGAACATGCCTAAAGAGAATGCAGTCTAGTGCAGGAACAGAAAACAGGGCTCAGTTCCACAATTCATGGTTAATTCTTAACCGAGGTTCAACTTGGTTCTCATCTCTTTTCAATTCCAAAATTGGAAAGAAATAATGAATAAGTTGGACCCCTCGATTAAAAGTTGAATGAATTGTGGAACTGGGACACAGATCAAATATCTTTTATTCACTAAAAACCTAAATAAACTAATAAATACAAATAATAATTAACAAGCAGCAAAGGAAAGTTGGCACTTTATTCCCCATATATTCACTTTTTATAAACCATTTATAAAAATCGATATTTTACCGTCGTGCTGTGAATCGTTGCTCGGTCGCGTTTTATTTTAACGCGCAAGGTTTAGGTTAACATTGATAAAATTTGACAATGATATGACACATACGTTTTGAAAAACTTTAAAAGTTTTATACCATTGTGAGAAATAGAAGAAGAATTTATTTATTTAACTTTTGTAAGAATTTATTCCGTTAACTTAAGATATTAAAAATGTCGAAAAAAGAAGAAGAACCGAAGGAAAAGAAGAAACCTATACCGCCAATGGTTAATTTTTTACTGGGCGGTCTTTCCGGGTAATTTTTTTTACGAAGCGTTGAATTAAAATAGAGTGTTTTAAATATTCGTTTGTGTGTGTGTATGTGTATCTTAGAATGGCAGGTACTTGCGTGGTTCACCCGATGGACGTAATCAAAAATACGATGCAAGTGCACAAAGGGAAAGCATCGGTCATAAATGTAATTAGCACCATATACAGCCAAGAGGGATTTTTTAAATTTTACAGCGGTTTAACAGCCGGTCTTGTCAGACAAGCAACTTACACAACCGTGCGACTCGGGATTTATAATCAGATGCAAGAATTTTGGAGGTAATCTGATAGCAGCGGCTACAATAAATTTTAAAAATTTCAAAAGAGGAGTCAAGACAATATAAATCTTAGAAAAAAGATTGAATAAAATCGGAATGAAATCAGGATGTCTCTTAAACGTTTTCATGATGACTCAGTTTTATCCCTTAAATAATCAAATAATTGAAGTAATTAAAGTCGTCAGAGTTAAAAAAAAACTGATTACATTTTAGACAAAAATACGTCGGTCGTCCCAATTTCGTGGTTCTGGCATTTATGGCTGGGACCGCTGGTGCCGTGGGAGCTTTCTGTGGTACACCAGCCGATGTAGCTCTCGTAAGAATGACAATAGATGGCAGATTACCAGTGGGTAATGATAAATTTTTGTACAAGCTAATTAGTGCATTAACTTTCATCAGTGTCAAAAGACACATTTGTTGAAATAAATGTAGCTAATTTAGCTAATGTTCTCTCTGCTTAGATCAACGAAGAAATTACAAGAACGTGGTTGATGCTTTTATCAGAATTGCTAGAGAAGAAGGAATACCCACTCTTTGGAGAGGATCTGTGGCTACGATAGGAAGGGCTATTGTCGTTAATGTATCGCAATTGGCTACTTACAGCCAAGTGAAGCATTTACTTGCGACACGATGTATAGCTAAACAACAGTTTTCTATATTACTTTTTAAAAATTATTTCGATGATTCGCGATTTCTTAAATATAAATCAAATACATTCGTTAACTTTCGAAAATATAAAAATATAATTAAAATCTATAATACTTCGTTTATCAAATTCAGTAATATTTTTCTATCTACATCTTTTGAATGTTTTTACAGTGAATGTTAAAGAAGGCATAGGCTTGCACTTTGGTGCGTCAATGATATCGGGATTTATCACTGCTTTTAACTCTATGCCTTTTGACATTGCCAAGACCAGGTTAACAATCAATCAACAATTTTAATACTTAAAACTTCTTGAAAAAAACTAATCCTTGAACAAATTCAATAAAATTTTTACTGTTCCATAGAATACAGAACATAAAAACCACTGGGAAACCTCCAGGTATGTTCTCAGTTATGATGTCAGTAGTGAAAAATGAAGGAGTAAGATATCTTTGGAAAGGTTTTTGGCCAACTTACTGCAGGATCGGTCCGCACACAGTACTAACTCTCGTCATCAACGAGCAACTGATGACTTTATATAGAATATATGCCAAATAATAAAAAAATTATCCGAATAAAAAATTGTATGTTTTTAATATTATACATAATAAAATTTTAGAAAAAACTTCTACACTTTTTTAAAAAACATTCTTACTGATTTAATTATAGTTGCAACACCTTAATTTTTATTTTATTCCAATTATATCATAGTGTGCAAAGGAAACCAATTAATACTGACATAGATAAATTTTATTACGACTTCGAGAAAAATTTCAAGTACATTTTATGAAGTTGATCAACGCATACCATGGTAATTACCGTATTGGGCGCTGCTCTGGAATAATACGGAAGAAAACCGCGCCATAACAACATTACACCTTCCTTTTTAGCAATATTAACGATCATAGTCAGAACACCAGGTGGTTTCGTAGGTTGCCTCCAGTTTTGAATCCTACAAGGATGTGTATCTTAAGACCTCAACTTTACTTTTGATATTTTGCTGCTTTACCTAGTTTTAGCTACGTCGATCGGAATCGAAGCGGTACACGTAATTACACTAGACATCAAGGCAGCGGTAATTTGCAGTAGTATATCATTTTGAATATATCCTAACATGTTTCAAAAATCCATTAAAATTATGGATTAAATAAAATCATTTAAAATCGATCATTCGTTATAATTTTTCTTTATACCCTTATTAACTATCATATTTATATTCTTATATATTTTCTCTTATATCAAGAACAATTATCTTTATGTAAAGTACCCTTTTGTACAGACATATTTAGTGTTGCAAATTTAATCACCTGCGTCTTGCAGTAACATCTTCGATCTCGTATATGTACCTAATTGTGCTCCATTTACAATCGCTGCTCTACCCATCGTGGGTACCGCTCCTCTCCATAATGCAAAAAATCCTTCGGTTTTCCATATGTCAAAGATACCACTAACGGCGTTCTTATATTTTCTTTGCTTTTCTGATATAAATATATTAATTCTCGTATACACAATACATTTACAAAGAGTACACCTTTCTTTTTACATTTTAAATCATTCTGACAAATAAATTTAAGTCAAAATTTCAAAATTTTTAATAGAAATAAATACCTGGTGGCAAATTCATATCTGCCACCATGCGAATTAATACCAGATCCGTGGGAGTGCCGATAAAAGAACCCATCACACCAGCTATCATCCCAAGACTTATCATCGTAACATAATTTAAAGAACCGAAATGTTGTCTGAAGAGAAGGAATTTGTAATAAGACATTTTTATAACATAGATTTGTCTAATGTCTAATTTGATACTCAATGCCAAATATGCACAATATTTAAGTCCGCGAATTAGAATTAATTTTTAAATGTAATGATTGAATGCAATAACTGACATTACTCCTCAATATCTAACAATGTGGTATAAATTCCAAGCCTGCTGGTGGTGTAGGTTAATTGACGAAGAAGAGCCGCGCTCAGTCCATCGTAAAAACCACAAACTCCGTTCGTGCAAAACGTACGGAATGCTGCGACACGTAAAGAATCCTGCGACACTTGCATACGTATTTTAATAACATCCATAGGATGTGTCACGATTTGAGCTATTATTCTGTCGAATGAAATAAAATTATCAGGAACTTCATGCTAAAATATTTTTTAGATATTTGCCTGTTGAGTAAAGAAGTAACAATTTTATTGTAATTATATAATATGAATCTTTTTACCCCGACATGCCACCTATTAAAAAGTTGATAAATTTCGGCACCTTGGCGTCTTGAATCGACGCCGACATTTATGTATTCTCTTTTTCTCATGCTAATCTCTCAATCCCTTATAACTAAGTTAATAACTTGTTACTTTTACCAATTTTTTTTTTTTAATTTCGGTAAGAATGACAATCTTTAACCTTTATTCCATTTTCATATTTCTCCTGAATGTAGTAGCATTATATCGTTCTTAATGCCAGAGCACAGACTCTTGACTAATTACTTTGACTAACTGCCTTGTCATTATTGCGATAAAATATTTTACTTCAATAAATATTCTTATATTTTTGTACATACATAAAATATTTTTTATTCAATAAATATTTATTAGTATTTAATTAAGTATAAAATAAATAATTGTGGATGTGTGTTACTACAATCTTTCTTACAGATAATTCAATAAAAAATAAACAATTTTACTTACCAGTTGCGTTCCACCAATTCTCCCTCCGGCCAAAAAATGTTCCACTTCAGTTTCGTCCTGGAAATAAAGAATACCTGAAAAAAAAAAAAAAAATTTATTACACACACACACACACACACACACACACACACACACACACGTATATGTACATACTATTGTATATACTATCGTATATAATCTAATTTTATACAATTTATAATTTATTCATGCATAAAATTTGGTGTATCAGTCACAACATGAATTATAATATTAAATATTAATATAATAATATAATATAATTATTATAAAGAGAAAAAAGAAAAGGAACTGTGATCATCAAAGAAAAAAGTCATCATGACTATTACCAACTATCACCAATTAATTCAATTACATTATTTTATAAATCTCTTGACCACACAATTATTCTCT